CCGACATAGGAAGCTGTCAAATCCGAACAAGAGGAGAAAACAAATTCTTTTTCAAATAATTGTTTTCCGTCTTAAGGGGGGAGGTGTTATGATCCCGTACTCAATATTCACATTTTCAACTTTTTATAAACAAAAGACTGGCGACGAACTCAAATTGTTCTTCTTTAGAAGCGAAGCTTCTAAAGACTCCTTCTTTTATTTTATTTGCAAGTGTTTGCTAGTTCCCATTGTTAAACGTTCGAAACAGTTGACTGACGAAAGACCAAAGTAATATAGGCAAGCTACACAGCTTGGCGTCGGTTCATTTTGATTTTTAGTCTAGCTGTAATAAGTTCTTGTTTATTAATATTAGTTTTGTTAGTGATAGTTTTAAGTGCTTGTTCATTACTTACAAAAATAAAGAACGAACCGAATATAACAATATATATCGTTAATCATTATTAACCTTATGTAAAAAAAAGTGGCATTAGACGTTTTTACCTTTGAGAATAAAATCTGAGGTAAAAAATTTAATTAGTCGAATCAAAAAAAAAAAAAACGATTTACCGTATTCGTTATCGATGATGCGATGCATTTAATATATATATTTATTTATTTAATTTTCTATGACACGTCATTTTTATTTTCTTCTGCCACGTCATTTTTCTATTGCCACGTCACTTTTCTACTGCCTCGTCAATTTTCATTTTGCATTAATAAAAAAAAGTTCCCAATGTAAAATATTGTTTTTAAATGTGTCATAGAGTAAATAAACGAACGAAACTCTTTAAAAAAAAAAAGAAAAAAAAAGGAAAAAATTTTAAATGGGAAATGACGAATGAAATGAAAAATTACGTTAATTTGCGTGTTTAAATAATCAAAGGAAAATAATGATAATGATAATAATGATAATGATAGTAATAATAATGATAAATACTAAAATGATTTTAAATTGTGAATAATTGTCGTGGTTTTTTTTTTTTTGTGCCGTAAATATTTTCATCCCTCAAAGGAAATTTTAATATTTTACTAAGGAAAACGTGAAACGCTCCAGAGAAAAATCGTAAATTTCAATTTAACAAAAAAAAAAAATTTTTTTTTATCATTTTCCCGTCTCCCTCGTAATAATAATAATGATAATAATAAAATTCAAGTGTCTACCCGATAAAATAATTTAATTTAAACTTATAATTTTATTCATTGGAGGGAGAGGTAAGAGGAGTTTCCTTGAGGGTAGGAGGTAATCGCACGAAAAAGAAAAATAATAATAATGATAACAAGGATGACGACGATGATGATAATAATGATCACGGTATTCAATAAAATTCACATTGAATCACCAAAACAACCCTTAGTTAAGGGAGAGGGGAGCATTTATTTTCCTTCACGTGACGTCACAAACAATAACAATCGTTTTTAAGTTATCGTGGGCTTCCTTTTTTTCTCCCTCATCATCATTATTATTATTAATTTTTCGTTCGCGTTCTTTCTCTTTCTATCTCTCTCTTTTTTGTCGTCTGCTTATTTTTTAATAACATGCCACGCCGATGATGATAATGATAATATTTGAAAAAATTCGATAATTAATAATAAAAAAAAAAAAAAATTTTTTTCATCAAATCGAACATCGATAAATTTTTTAAAATCGGGCACATTTATCCCGTTTTAATTATAACGAAAAAAAAAAAATTTCAATCAATCAATCATTCAATCAATCGATGAGTGAATTTTGGGATGTTTTATATAAGCGCAAAAAAAAAGTTTAACTTTGTGATTTCTTTCTTATTTTTTTTGATTTTTTTTCGATGACGATTATTTCGTTTTTATTTAATTTTTAATTAACCTGACACACACGATCGAATTAATCGTATAAAAAAAAAATTCATATCGAAATCAGTCAATCAATCAATCAATCAATCATTCATTCATTTTATTAATTAATTGAAATTTTTTTGAATATACGACCCGAACACAACAAAACAGACGAATTGTTTTTACACTCAACAAAGATTTAGAAGGTTTTTTTTTTTTTTTGGGAGAAGGGGGGTTGAAAAAAGCAGGACAGGGGAAAGGAATCAACGTCAGGGACGTATCAAATATATTCATAAAATATTTCCCAATAAAAAAAATGAAAAAATTCCAACCTCGTTTACGCATTTACGTACTACTACCAAAAATACAAAAAGTCGAAAACGTGTTTTTATTATCATTATTATTATTATTTTTTTTTACGCATACGAATGCACGCATTTTAAATACACGCATTTCCCCCTCATTCCTCCCCCTTCTCCTCTTATTTTTTTTCGAATTAAAATTTAATTAATAGGAAATTAATAAAAATAATACGAAAAAAAATAAAAAAGTTTTTTTTTTTTGCGTTCCCTTCTTTTTTCTCCCCCCTCTTCCCTCCTTTTCCCCCTTATTCCCACCCGTCTCCCCTCCCATTTTCAGGTTTTTCAACTAACACAAAAAAACAAGTTCAAATTTATAATTAAATTAATAAATTTTATTTTTTTATTTTTTTTTTTAGAAAAAAAAAAACTTGATCGAACGTATAAATTATTGATTTTTATTTTATTATTATTATTATTATTATTATCATCGTCATTATCATTATCATTATTATCATTTTTTATTATGTACATATTTTATTCGATTCGTTTTAATTTAAATGTGTATAAAAATCATAAAAATTAAAACTTATTGATTAAGAAATAAAAATAAATATTTATTTATTTACTTATTTATTTATTTTATTAATAAATAAATAAATAAAAAACATGAACGCGTAATAATGTAAATAAAAAAAAAAACAAAACTTATCATTATTATTATTATTATTATTATTAGTATCGTCAATAAAAAATGTTTCTTTGTTTGTTGTTTGTTTGTTTGTCGAAGTAGTCGTAGTACGTCGTTTTTATTATTATTATTTTTTTTTAAACAAAATCGAAAATTTTGTTTTATAAATATTTTTTTTTTGTTTAAAAAAAATCTATTATTATTATTATTATTATTATTATTATTATTATTATTATTATTATGATTATTGTTATTGGTATTATTATTATTAATTAAAATTATTTGTTTTGAAAAATAAAATCGGTGTCTCCTTCCTTCCGCCACGTTCGAGAAGAATAATCGTTTGTTTAAAAAATTGTTGTTTTATACAAAAACAAAAACTTTGCATGTGGGCTACCCCCCTCACCCTTCCCCCCTCTCTCCCCTCCGGGAAAAGACAAATTATTATTATTAATAACATCATCATTAAAATTTTTTTTAATTATGTTCGACACTATTGTGCAGTTGGAAGTAATTTTAAAAACGAAAAAAAAAAAGTATAATAATATGCAGATGGCTTAAAATTTTTATTTGTTTGTTTGTTTGTTTTGGTGCAAACAAACAAACAAACAAAAAAAAAATTTTTTTTTTTATTAAGTAGGTAATACGTAAAATTCGAAGGGATGGAGGGAGGAGAAGGAAAGTAGACACAAGGAAAAATAAAATAATAAAAATTAAAATTCATTAATTCTTCTGCCACGACTACTAAACCGACGTTTACGTAAAAATTTAAATCGTTGAAATAAAGAAGCGGAAAAAACGGAAATGCCCGAATGATTCATCCGGGAAAAAAAAAACAAAATTTTTCCCTTCCCCCCGTTTTTTCATCTTTTTCTTTTGTTAATTAATTTGTTTGTTTGTTACCGTAGCGGTAAAAATCCGAAAATAAAAAAAAAAAAAAAAATTTTTTTTACGTAATTATTATTATTACGTCATCAATATATTATTTCACGCGCGAGAGAAAAAAAAATATTATTTATTGCTTTTCGAGTATTGCTTCTGGAGAATATATTTTTCCAGTGCTTCAGAGAAACCGGAGACGATGAATAATAATAATAATAATGATAATGATAATAATGATGATAATAATGATGAAAACATTTTATTTTTTTTTGATAACGTGTTTTTTAAAATGAGGTGTGGGCGATAACGACGACGACGACGACGACGATAATGTTTTTTTTTTTTTTTTTTTTTTTTTTTAATTTTAATTATCAATTATAAATTTTATAGCAGAGTTTTTAACCGTTTTGTAGCAGTAGAAAAAACAATAATAATAATGATAATAATAATAATAAAACACTCGAATGATTTTTTTGTTTTTACCCGTTTGTTTAATGCGTTTCGTAAAAATAAAAAAAAAAATTCCGTCAGGTAACCCAATCAAACAAACAACAACAACAACAACTTCGAACATGTTATATGTGTTCTACTACCACGTCATTTTATTACGATTCGAATTTTTTGTATTAATTACTTTTTTTTTATTTTTTTTAATTTTTATTTTCAAGATTTTGTTCAAAAAAATAAAAATAAAAAAATTATTGCCACGTTTTTTATTTATTTATTTTATTCGTATCGCATTAATTATTATTATTATTATGTCCACTATTAAACACGACAAGGCTCTTATTTGTCGGGGTTTTTAAATATTTATCCCAGGTTTCTACCCGATTCCTTAGGGACAAATACTCGAATTTCGGTGGTGCTACTTATAATATTTTCCGAAGGATGTGGAAAATTATTATTATTATTATTAATTTAATTATTATACGTATTTTAGTCTTAATTGAAATGTTTTTTTTTTTGATTGCAAATCATCATTCGAATCGAATATATAAATATCGACAAGGTTCAATAACCTTGTGCCACGACAAAAAAAAAAATGACACTTGAAGCATTTCGTACGAAATTAATAAATTTGCTTTTTTTTTTATTTTATTTACAGGAATCGAACAAAGCACGCATACATGTAAGAGTAGAAAAAGACAAAGAGAGAGAAAGAGAGAGAGAAGGATAAAGAAGAAGTAACAACGATAGAACAAAAAGAAAGGAGAAGAAAAAAAAATTTGTAATCGATATGAAAAAATGATTAACGTGGTGCGTGATGCAGTTTGATTCGAAAATATTATTATTATTATTATTATTGTGTGTCGTCGTAGTAATAATAATTAACAATAATGCAACAACCGAATTTTCAACAAGCTCAACAAAAACTCAAAGACGTGACGACAACCGTCGTCGATAATTTATCAATATCGAATAACATCACAATCACACCTGTTAATTCCAAACACCTCATTACAAATAATAATAATAATAATATTAATATTAATAATAATAATAATAACAACAACAATAACAACAACAACAACAACCTACGAAAGGTTCGTTGTTTAGCTTTTATTGAAAATAGTTCGGGTGATATAGCGAGTCCTGGAAGCGTACCGGAAGCTAGATCGCCATCGGGTGGTGCCAGCGACGGATTTACACTAACGGATGTTAACAGAGACGTGCCATCTTTTAAAACTTTCAATTCGTACAAAGAGGATTCGAAGGATAGTTTTAGAAAGGACAATCATTCGTCGGATGCTGTTCAGAGAGATAAATTCGGATTCCGCGATGGCGGGTCTTACCACTCCGACAATAATTTTATAATAGATAATAAAAATTCAATGAGAAATAAAACATCGCCGCCGACGACGAAAAGGTTCGACATGACGCCGAAATCTCTGTATCCGGTACTGCCGAACAATATATGCCACTATAACGATGAGGAAGTGAGAAAGTATCAGGAGAAAAGCGAAAAACTCAACGAGTACGGTTATAACAAATTCAATTCTTACACGTCGGGTAACGTGAAAGAGGATAGATCGTCTGGAAGGTTTAGTAGTAGTTTTAACGAGGATTTAATAATAAAACCCGTGCCATCGAAGGTATCGATGAACATGAAAGATAACAGGAGTCAAGAAATCGAAGTACAAACGACAAACGCGTTCGTTTTGCATTCGTGGCATCCGCACGTGTATGCGAAACCACCGAAAACTCCGACCCCTCATTCAATATTGGACATATTAGGCTCACTGCCGCACAAATATTCACCATCTTCGGCCATGGTACGACCGGTTTGTGGTAAGGAAGAAAGGTTGCTACCCCCGCCCTCATCGAACGACGTTACTGAAAATGTTTTTATTAATAATACGAGTAGTAGTGACGAACCTTTAAATTTATGTTTGCCAAAATCTCGCGACGTGTCACCTTCGAGTTCGATAAGTTCGCGTACGGTCACGCCACCCATAACGACCGGACACGTTATGGATCATCATCATCATCATCATCATCATAATACTTCGTTAGGTTTGGTCAACGGAAGACCGGATTTAATAACTGCTAGTCCTGAAAAATTAATTCATCAAATCAAAGGTAAGTTTTCAAACGTTTTTCAAAATTCTTCCCTCCCCTCCCCTTCCTCCCTCCCCCCGTCGCGGGCTCCCCACAAAATAAAACAACTTTCGGATAAACTCGTTCGTTTAAACATCTTATTAAAGATAGTAAGTAGTATTAGGAAACGGTCGTTTGTCGGTCGGTTGTTGTGGTGGTTTAACCCCAATTAATCCATGTTGCCTTCCGGGTTTTTTTCTTTTTTTCAATTTTATTAAGGACCTTACTCTCTCTCCCCCCTCTCTCTCTCTCTCTCTCTCTCTCTCCTATCCTACTCCTCTCAATTCTACTTTCAATTACGTAATAACTCGAGCTATATCGGTTTTATTAATTAAATTAATCACCATTTTAATTAAAAAAAAAAAAAAACATTAATCCGACTGTTTAAATCGACAAAAGGGCATCGCCATAGGTAGCCTAAGTTTAAGACAAATGTTTTTGAAAACAATTTACTGTTTCAAAACCTTCGCGACGGCTAATAAGCATATTATCAATTATTAAAGTAACCGTAACGAAAAGAGAGAAAGGGTGGTATAAAAAAAAAAGAGAGAGAGAGAGAGAGAGAAAAATAAGAGAAAGAATGATGGAGAAGCAAAGAGAGACAGAGAGAAACATAAACATAAAGACAGAGAAAGAAAGAGAATGAAAGTTAAAGAGAAAGAATGAAGAGAGACAGAGAGAGAGAAAATAAAAGAGAAATGAGGAACAGAGACAAAAAGAGAGAATGAGAGATACAGATAGAGAAGGGAGGAATGAAAGAGAATGAAAGAGAGGCAGGGAGCAAGAGAGAGAATGAGAAGTACAGAGAGGGGGGAGAGAGGAGGAAAATTTGGTTTTTTTAAAAACAATATGGCGGATAATAAAAAAAAAAATGTTTGGGCAATCCTTCGAAGAGTGGTAAAAAAAAAAAATCCCACGAAAAAATTTATTACTCGTAATCAAAACAGTTAAACAAACATTTTTCGTTTTAAAAGTAAAAAAAACTATTAAAAATCGGCCTTAAACCTAACAAACAGTAGTAGTAGTATAATAATAATAATAATAATAATAATAATAATAATAATAATCGTTATCAAATTTACCTTAGGGTCTTGACATTATAACCGTTTTTTTTCGGGTAAAAAAAATTCTTTTTCATTCGTACACGAACAAACAAACAACCGATGGATGATGATAATGATAATGATTAATTACGAAATGTAAAATAATCGTAAAAAAAACGAGATATTAAGAAATCGATTTAATAATAATAATAATAATACAACAACCGACTGGTAAAAAAAAAAAATATAAAAACTTTACAATCGGTTGTAAAAAAAAACAAAAAACAAAAATGGCAGCCGACGGTGGATTAATGTTTTTTTTTTTTTTTTTTTTAACTTTTTTTTTTGAAAAGGTTCCGAACGTTAATTTAAAAATAAAACGAGTAATAATAAAGAGAGAGAGTGAGAGGAAGAGAGAAAAAGAGAGAGAGAGAGAGTCAGTTTTTTTTGTGTAAAAAAAGGTTAAAAGAAGATATTTTAAAGTTATCCAATTACTTTGATGTGACAAAGTATCGTGGAATACTAAAAAAAAAAAAAAAAACGATGCCGAACGATGATAATAATGATGATGGGTTACTGCCCGTTGCTATAGCGATAAAGAAAAAGGAAAACGAGATAAAAATAGAATTTAGGGAAAATGAAAAGTGTGTGTACGAGAGAGAGAGAGAGAGAAAGAGAGAGTGCGTGTGAAAAGGTAAGGAAAAGGGAATCTGCGATGGTGATGGTGATGGTGGTGGTGGTGGTGGTGAGGGGGGGCGGTGGAAAGTGCGAACACCATCCATCGATCACGATCGACGACGATGACGACAACAACAACGGAAAACCTACTCACGTTTCGTTACGTAGGAAAAGTCATGATGATGATGATAACGTTTTACTGATAAGAAATCGAATCAAATTTTTTTCTTTTTCATCCGTTAGAAAATTTTCCAAAAAAAACAGGAACAACAATAATAATAATAATGATTTCGTCGGCGGTAAAAATTAATTTAAATGAAAGTTTTTTTAAAAGTTTGAATCCCCCCCTTTTTTTTTTTGAACCGGAAATGAAATTCAAATTTAATTTCATCCACTTATTAAACTTTTTTTTTCTTTTCCTTTATTTATTTACTTTATTCAATCGAATTATTTTGTTGTTTGTTGTTGTTGTTTTATTTTCGATTTAAAATTTTTTTTTGTTAATCGTTTCGACCGGAAATGACGTTGTTTAAAAAAACGGAAGGGGTTTAAAAGTTGCCATATTTGTTTTTTTTTCTAATTTCTCGACACGGCGGAAGGGGGGAGGAAATCAAATCGACGAACGTCTTTTCCTATTTTGTTTTATTATTTTCGAGGGGAGCGGAAAGGGAGAGAGGGTAGGGAAGAAGGGGGAAGGGTGGGGGTAATAAAATGTCAACCGGAAAAAGATTTAAAAATTCTTGATATAAAAAAAAAAATTTTCTTTTCGGATGAAAATTAATTGACTTCCTTTTTTTTTTCTCTCTCTCTCTCTCTCTCTCTCTTTCATCTCCTTTGTTTTTTTTATTTCCTTTTTTTTCGTCTTCATTTATCTGGAATGTTCAAAAGGGTAAAAAAAAAAAAAAAAATTTTCCAGGATTAGAATTTTGTTAGCGCCACGACAAAAAAAAAAAAAAACGTTTCGACCTTTTTTTATTTTTTTCTATTTTTATTTAATTTTATTTATTTATTTATTTTTTTAATAAATAAATGTAAATTTTAAATATTATTTTTTCTCTCTCTTTTTAAAAAAAAAAAAAAGGAAAGAAGGAAGGGAATAAAAGGAAAAAAAAGGAAGGGGGGGGAAAGCTGAAAAGAATGAATTGAAACGTTCGTAAATACGATTAATGGAACTCGTTTAATAATTACTCAACCAAAAAAGGTTTTTCTTTTTTTTTTTTTTCCTTTTTCCTTTTTTTTTTTTTCATTTATATATTTACATAAAAGAACTTTCTGTTAAATATAAAATAATAATAATAATATAGGAAAAAACTGGGATTTTTTTTTTGATTTTTCCTGGATAAAAAAAGACAAAAAAAAAAAGGGAGAAAAAGAAAAAAAAAAACAAAATTTTTATTTTTATATGAAATGAAAATGGAAGAGGAAAAAAAAGAGGAAAATAAAATTAAGAGAGAGAAAAGAGAGAGAGAGAAGGATTAAATGATGATGGTGTAGATAAATGGGTAAAGAGAGTGAGAGAGAGAACGAATCAAAAGAAAAAAATGACGCGTAAAAAGAAAATAAAAAAAAAGAGAGAGAAAGAGAGTGAAAAGTGAAAAAAAAAATTTTGTTTCTTCCCCCCCCAACTCTTCCCCTCCTTCCTTTTTTTATCCTTATTCCCGTTTTTTTTATTTGGTTTTGTTTAAACCTTATTTTCCTTTGAAACGAAAAAGGGAAAATTATATTAATTTTTTTTTGAAGCCATTTAAAACGTCAAATTAAAAAAAAAAAAAAAAGAAAAATTAATTATTAATAATAATAATAATGATAATAACGAAACCTGATTTTATTTTTTTTCTCTCGCGTCGTTTTTTTTTTTTATGTAATAAAATCGTGAGAATTTTTTTTTTTTTTTATAAACAATTTAAATTTGTTTAAACAAAAAAAAAAAAAAAAAAACAACCGTAGTACTTACTACTTACTACCGTATGTGGCGGTTTCGGGAAATAATTAATTATAAATCTGCCAAAGGCGGATTTCGTATAAGTAATTAAACGGATTCGTTGTTTGTTGTTTTTCTCGTTAAATAAATTTTTCAATTTTAACCTTTAAACTCTCCTCTCTTTCCCTCCCACAACCCCCTCCTCATCCCCCCGCCCGCAATTTCTAATTTCACGTTTTAAAAAAAAAAAAAGTTAATTTTTTTCTTTTTTTTTTTTCCTCTTTCCCGCGTATGTTTTTTCTCATTATTATTATTATTATTATTAACGGTAAAAGAAAAGTGATTTATATATAACTTTTTTAAAAAACGAGACGAAATTATTTTCTTCTTCCACGTAATTTTTTTTTTTATTGATTTGTCGTTTGATGCCACGTCAATAATTTAATTTGTTTTTTTTTTTAAATTTTTTCTTTTTTTCTTTTTTTACCTTCTTCTTTTTCTTATATAAGGAATGATCGTTTGTCGTTTGATTGTTTGTTGTTTGATCGTTTGTCGTTTGTTTAACGTTTCGTTTGTCGATTTTATTCAATCGAACGCGATTCAAATTTTTTTAAACGGTTTTTTGTTGTGCTTTTGCTTATCCGATACGTATAAGTTTAAAAAAAGATCAGGAAAAATGAACTGAAAAATCCGACCAATGAAAATCGATGTGAAAAAAAATTCTTAAATTTGATTGGTTGATTTAATATTTAATAACGACCAATCAAAAATTTAATTAAATTTAAATTTTAACTTTATCCATTTATTTTCTCGAATTAAATTTTTTTTTTTTTTTTTTTCACTTACTTATTCCATTTTTACGAATTCGTCGTAAGATAAAAAAAAAAAAAGAAGTTATAAAAAGGAAATAAAAGGAATTTTTTTGTTTTTCCTTTTATTTTTCCTTCTTTCATTGATATAAAAAAAAAATCAAAAAAAAAAAAAAAAAAAAAGGAAAAAAGGAAAAAAGAGAGAAAGACATGCGAAAAGGTCGTGTTTCGTAAATGGTTTTACACCTTTATCCTTTTACCGTGTTAAAATAATAATAATAATAATACACATCCAATTCGAAATCCTTTTTTTTTTCTTTTTCGTTTCTTTTTCCACGTCACGGTTTTTCTTTTTTTTTTTTCTTTTTTCGAACTTTGAAACTTTTTTCCTTTTTTTTTTTGACCGTGATTGATATTCTTTTTCAAAAAAAAAAATCTTATATGAATAAGTATAAAGAAAAAATTTTTTTTTTATTGGATTGTTCACGTCAAAAATTTTTTTTTTTTATGCCTCCTACCACGTCAAAAAACTCAAATATTGAACTTTTTCCCCCCCCAAAAAAAAAAGAAAAACTAACATTTATTATTACATTGGAACAACGCGAAAGTAAATAAAAAATAATAAAAAATTTGGACAGAAATTGAAGAAGGAAAAACGACGGACGTG